TCACTAAAAATTGAGCTTAGATTAAAATTGATTCGAAGAAAGCAAATTCTGAACACTAATAATCTTTTACTACTTTGCTTACTTTTGATTTTAACATATCGAAGTATTTGACTCGATAATTAGATTTCACTCATTAGTATATCAAAGACCTAAAGTTCAAGAATAGCAAGTCAATGCGAAGTTTCATTTTCTCTAGCATGGTCATGCATTAGAATCAAACGCCTACACAAAATGGTCACGTCCAGTTCAATTCTGGATGTACCAAGATTACTAGTGCCACTACTCCTGAAATCATGTCGCCACGTCAATATAAACAAAATATCCCAATTGGTAGAATCGCAACTATTACAACCTTAAAAATATAAAATGTCAACCAATTATTCTACGGCCGTGGATAATTGATTTCTCGATCAATGTACAAAATAGTGTCTTCTTTACCAACCACCCTATTTTCTATTTGACTCATTAATTAAAGAAACTTTGCACGCATGTTAAAAATATAATGCAAATCCCTTTTGTAGAAATAAATAAAAACCTATCATTTATTCAATTACATTCAAAATATCTATCTTATTATAATAAAGTCATAATACTTTTGGACACATAATTGTCCTTCAAATTGCTGATCTGAACAGCTAATCTTGCAAACAGGTTATAAAATTCCCAAAGGTTGGAAAGTTATCTGCTGGCTACGATATGTTCACACAGAGGCAGAAAATTTTGAGGATCCAATGTGCTTTAATCCGGATAGATGGGATGTAAGCAAAAATATAAAGCTAATCCATAAATTAAATAACTCTTTTAGCTTTCACTAAAAAGTAAAAAGTTAAAATTGTTTCCTCATGAACAACCAAAGGCGGGAACCAGGGGCGGATTCAGAGTTATAAGTCAGCACGGACAGCCGTTGGCCATCGATAACAATAAAATATGAAGAGCTCATTTGATGTCAATTTTTGTAAAAAAATGCATTTTAGAATAGTGATTTGCTGGAGAATGTGTGTTTATAATTAAGGAAAAAATTTGAATTTATATGTAATGTTATTTTATTGAAGATTGTGTGGTTGAAAAGAAGAGAAAAAAATTGTAAAATGGTAAAAATTGGAGAACTAAAAATATATGAATTACAAGCTAGGGAAAATGAAGGAAGCGTTTGAAAATGAAATAAAATACCAGTTATATAAGTTAAAAAAATTATCTACTGTAAACAAAGAAAAGTTCCCGGCGGATTCGGCACGGGCGGCCACGAGGGCTCGCCGGGTGCTGAATCCTAATGCAGAAATGATATATCTGCCGCATCCAAAGCCAGTAGACGAAGTTGAGATAACTATCAGCAAAATTTAAGGAGCAAAACATATGTCATAGTTTTTCTTTTGATCTCTCATTTGGTAATTCCTAGTGAACAAGTTTAATTGAACTTTGTTGTGTGATCCACATTCACGCTTCATAGTGAACCAGTTTCATTTAATTTAACTTGAAGAAAATACCTCAACTAATGATCAGAGTGGCATGGTAGCCATGCTTTGAACCATCCACCCTAGCTAATCGGAAGCACTCGACGCGCAAACTTGAACATCTTTTCAGTAGTCATAAAGTTGACATTTGAATAGGTCGTGTATCCTATATTTTAGTTTCATTGGGAATATTTTACATAGCTTGCCAAACTACTTTGGAGACTACGTCATCCTCGATATTCATACAAGTGCAGTTATAGGTAGATAATAAAATTCTATAGGTAGCCTATTTAAGACCTAGATAGCTCAACCTTTCTTTTCATGATACGTTTACCAAACACTTTTACTTTAGGAATAAAATTTGTGTTTGCAATCACTGGTATGATGTATTGTACTCATTGAACCTAAGGACTTCGTATTTCACACATTAGGTTGAGTTTCCACGATTGGTGTTTATTAGTTGGCAACTATCCACTCCCTTCGACGTATTTTTCCAAACTAAACTCTTTACAAGGCCTTTCATCAAAGGATCCTCTAAGTTTCGACTTGACTTGACGTAGTCTATGGTAATTATAAAATTTGAAATATGTTTTCTTACCGAACTGTCTTAATCTAATATGTCTAAACTTAATAGCGACTATATGTTCTAGACAAAGTAGCTTTACTATCGCAATGAATTGAAATTGGTGGCATTGGTTTGCGTTATATACGAATTTCTATTAAGGGAACTTACTACATGAAGTATGTGCTATGAACTCGGCTGTCGTGGTAGAGTCTACAATGAATGTTTGTCTCTTCAAACCCCATGATATGGAACCTCCACAAGATATGAAAATCCATCCACTAATTGATGCATGATCTTCTCTATTTGTGATCCAACCAATATTTGTAAATCCTTCTATGACTAAAGGATAACTGGAACGAAGTATGGCTTGACCTATTGTTCCTCCTAAATATTTTAAGATACCGTAAACCGCTTGCCAATATCTAGTCTTAGATGACATTGCATACATGAGACATCCAATAACCCAAACATACTCTAATTAAGATATCGTTCTACTTGTGTTACAATATAATCTAACATTATAATTAAAATGTGTAGTCATCGACTTGCAATCATAGTGATCAAACTTTTTCAACATCTTTTCTAAAATCACATGAGCAAGTCTCGTGTCTTTAAAATTAAAATTGACTAACACGCTATACTTGCTCTCTCCAACACCTAAACCACTTCCGATGCGTATATTTTGACCTTTAGTTTCTCATTCACACAAATATCATTTTGGGTGTAAGTAAATATATGATTTTGATGTTCTCATGAATGAGAATATGGATCTACTTTGATATTCCACAATGAAGAACTGAGCCCCACTCAAAATTATGCCAAAATTCAAACAGGGTTGTCAATTGCTCTATTGACAAATTCAAATTTGCTTCTTTACTAAGAATATTGCATTGAACATGTTTAGTGAAATACAATCTAATAAAAATAATCTTATGCTGATCGGTTTCACTAGATCAGCTGAGCTAATTATTCTTAATTGTGAGAAAACATTGAACATCGTTTCATTACTTCGATTCTTCAACACATTGAAGAATGAAATTATATTGAGAAAAATAAATAAATATGAAATCGAAACCCATTGATTACAATAAATACTGAGACTCAACTGAACAATACTTGTTGATTTAATCGAACATCGAGAAGTACTAATTGAAATTAAAATCTTGTTCATTCTAAGTGAGTATCGAAAATTAAATTAATCAATTCCGAAGAATATGGAAATAAATCAAAGAATTGAAAAAACTCTAATTTTTTCATTATCATCAAACACCAACAATGAACCAAAGTCCTAGTAGAGGAATTCCCAACAAAATATATAGGAAGTTTCGTCGTATGAGATGTGATAAAATTTTAAATTAAGCAAGTGGCGGAGGGATTGGTGGTAGAATGACGACCGCTTCCACGAAGTTTTCATTAAAAAAATTAAATCTATATAGAAATTTTAAATTTTTAAATATATACATAATACACGTATTTGCACTCTCAATTTTTTTGGTCCCCCAACATAAAAAATCTGACTCGAAATGCAACACATCATTTTCCATCCCTTTCAAACAGTAAAATTTATGTATTTTATCCATTATGTGTGAACCCAAAACCAATGCTATTCTAGAAATGTCAATATTTTTGCAAAGTGGTCGAAGTTTGCACCTAGAAGAAGCTTTTGAGCAACTCAATTTGATTTCGACTTGGAAAAGTCATAAATTGAAAATTAGTTAGAATCAGCAATTAAGAATGATAGAGATCTTCAAGACGCCGCGTCCTGAACAAGACAATGATTTTCGAGTTGGCTAAGATATCAAAGTGGGGTGGAAAAGACGATCCTTGCCCCGAACCCTTGAATAATTATTTATATAATTACATAAAATAAGTTTTGAAATTAATTAATTAAATCGAAAAAACGTGGTAGGGATGAAAATTTGTCTCGTCGTGCCTTTGTAAGTTATGATTCAATACATAAAATTCTCAATGGGACAAAAACTTTCCATCCCGTTGTCATCCTATCAAAGATGCCGTTTGCTTTTCTACGACTAAGTCTTGAGTAATATTTTCCTTGAAGCTTCTCCTCCTTCAAAGTTGGGGGGAGAAAAGAAGACAATAAACATAAAGTCAAATTAAAAAATAATTGAAGGGCCATACCTATTATTTTAGATGCACTGCTTTTGTATACCTAGTTTCCCACTTGTTATAGAGCCAAAAATATATTTTTCTCTCTCTCTTTTTTTAACTACGTTTTTCAATAAAATAATATTATACGAAAACTCAAAACTTTCCTTATTTTTTTCACCGTATATTCTCTATCAATCTACTATTCCACAGTGCATTCCACTTAAGAAATGAGACTCAAACAGTCCCTAAGTCCTTTTTTGATTTTGTTAAAATTTAAATTTTTATGGCGTGCTTGGTAAAGATTAAAATTGAAAAATTAGTCGTTATTGTTGACTTTTATTAGATTAGTGAGACCCAATAACTGTTATATTTTCAATTTTAATTGAATTTTAGGTTCTACCAAACAAGCTCTTAATAAATTTTGATAAAAATTGACGAAATCTATTATTTAAAGATAAAAATTGTAGTGTTCACAAAAGTTTGAATTAAAATGAGAGAGAAAAAATGGGCCAAACATGTTTGGGTTGTACTAGATGTACACCCAATCCATTACCTAATGGATTACACCTCCCTCACATGGAAGGCGGCCCACGAATATTTTATTGTCTGTGAGCCCCCTTCTATGTGAGGGAGGTATAATCCATTAGGTAATGGATTGTGTATATTTAGATTAATCCAACATATTTTCCCTTCGTTTTTTTGCCAGAGTGGAAAATTCCAATTCACAGCCCACCACCCTCACCCCATAAAAGCAAAAGCTCGACGGCACACAGCCCTAGACAACACACGCCCATTCCATCTCTTCTCTTCCATTTCTCCATCGTCACCGAACGAATTCTTATCTCAATTATTATTGTTTGAATGCGATCCCAATCATGTATATAACCACCGCACTTCTCAGAAGAACCTCCTCCAGTTCTTCCAATACTAGTACTACTGGCAAAAGGCTCCTCTCTTCTCTATCCAAAAAACCAGTTTCTAGTTCTGCTTCTAGTCCGATTTCTAGTAATTTCAATCAAACTCATCAACGATCTTTGAGTTTTTATTCGGCTCTGAGGTCTGCGCAGCGGTGGAGCCACGGTGTGGATTGGAAATCCCCGGCGAGTCTCGGAGCTCAGATCAGGATTGCTTCGTCTGCTGCTTCCCTTTTCCAGCGAAACATCGCTACCATGGGTACTTTTATTGTTTTTCACATATTCAGATCAAATGCCGTTTGTGTTTCTGATGATTGGATTACCGATGTCCTTTATTCTTGATGTGAAACTGATATATGGAGTACTAGTTTTTCTGTAAGAGTGTGTTTGGCATATTTTTATCTTTTATGTTTTTGTGACAGCTGACTGTAGTCTCTCATAAATTATATGAAGAAGAAAAGTTAAAATTGACTTTTTAAAAAAAAGTATTTTCAATGCTCGTGGTATAAATTGTTCTCCGAGCTAGAATTTTTGGTGCTTTTTTTTTTGTTCTTAGGACCCTGTTACAGTTTTTGGTACGGGATCTATCAGATTTACATGAAAAAATAGCGTAAAGAGCTTTCATTTTTAAATTTGTTTTATAGTTATTTGTTTGCATTTCTAATTATTTTCCTGTATGAATCCAGCCTCTGAAAATGCTTTCAAGAAAATTCTTACCAGCCTTCCCAAGCCAAGCGGTGGTGAATTTGGCAAATTCTATAGCCTGCCCGCTCTCAATGACCCGAGGATCGGTAATTTCCTGGTTCAGGAAGAATATTTATTTTCACATTTTAAATGTTGTTTGAAAGTTTGATTTCAAAATTTCCATTGGTATTAGAAAATAACATCTATTTGTGCAGTAATGATTCTTTTGAATTATTGAATGCTTTTTTTGCATTTTCCCTTGAAATTACAGATAAGCTGCCATATTCTATTAGAATCCTTCTCGAGTCAGCAATTCGTAATTGTGATGGCTTTCAAGTTACAAAGGAAGATGTTGAAAAGATTATTGATTGGGAAAATTCTTCCCCAAAGCAAGTTGAAATTCCTTTCAAGCCTGCTCGTGTCCTTTTGCAGGTACCAGTCTTGTTTCAACAATGCAGATTTCTATGATAATAAGGAATCAACAGTTTGCATAAGAATATGATTGTCCAATTCCAGGACTTTACTGGTGTACCAGCTGTGGTTGACCTTGCTTGTATGCGGGATGCCATGAACAATCTTGGGAGTGATTCTAATAAGATCAATCCGTTGGTATGAACAGCATTTTATGTAATTCATTTTCTATGTTAATAACTAAACATAGCCAAATGTCTTGAATTGTAGATTAAGTTTGTGTCTGAATTTGTTTTATGGAAAATGTTTATGCCGCTTCTATCATTTCATTTGTATTGTTTTCCCAGAAGTTCTGAAATATTAGCAAGTTGGTAGTTTTGTTCAAATTAAATAGATTACCCTCCCTCCCCCAGGCAATGTATTTTTAACCTTTAAGAAATCTGCTTTCAAGTGTGTAGACAGAAAAGTGCTTTTTAATTTTCTTATTGATTTATTTTTCCTTTTTAAAGACCAGATGAAACTGGAACTTTCTACTTAGTTTCTTCTGGGTCATCGTGTTTTTAGTTTTCCAATTTGCTGGACAACATCTTAATGCACGTGCCCTGCTGTTATCATGAAGAGTTCTATTTCTAATTTCAGTAACCTGGTTGTTGGCTTGCAGGTTCCTGTAGATCTGGTCATTGACCACTCAGTTCAAGTCGATGTTGCTAGATCAGAAAATGCTGTCCAAGCAAATATGGAGCTTGAGTTCCAGAGGAACAAGGAGAGATTTGCTTTTCTTAAGTGGGGATCTAATGCTTTTCACAATATGCTTGTTGTTCCTCCTGGTTCTGGTATAGTACATCAGGTATCGGAACTTAAGATTTAACAGTATGTAGATATCAATGCTTTTCCTACTTTTGTGCATTCAAGCTGTCTTTATATCACTGATTTATTGTTATTTTCAGGGTGATATGTATTTCCATTTGATTATGTGATATCTATATAAAAAAACAAAATCTATTGGTTTCTTGTTTCCTCTTTTGTTTTCTTGCCTATGCCAATATTCAAATGATTTAACTGCGTAATTTGTTGTGATACTATTTAGGTCAATCTTGAATATCTTGGACGAGTTGTTTTCAACACCGGTGGTATGCTCTACCCAGACAGTGTAGTTGGAACAGATTCCCATACAACCATGATTGATGGGTTAGGAGTTGCTGGTTGGGGAGTTGGAGGAATCGAAGCCGAGGCAACAATGCTTGGTCAGGTATTAATTTGTTGCAGAACAGAGGGCTTTTTTACTTTCATGTCTGTATCATAAGATGTAGTGCTGTTAGCCTGTTACCACGAAGTTCTGAAATTAGAAGTATAGTTTGTTTGTTAAAATTATATTCTCTTAGGGGTCTTGGAGAAATAAATGAGTTGAAATGAAATCATAGAGGGCGCATATACACAGGTAGGTTAACTATACAGTATCTGTGAACTATAAATTATGGGACGTGGATGCATAACCAATTAATGGTTCAAGCAAACTTTTTAAACTTATGAAGCTTTCTAACTTGAAGCAAGTCACCACTTTGCTGCACTCTATGGCAAGACATTCTTCTGATAATGAGCTCATGTATGTTGAGATTCCAACTCTCACGTCAGTGTGTGCCTTTACTGTTGCTTCTGACTAGCTTAATTACTTGCCCTGACTTGCCTTCCTAAAGTTCCAACAAATGCAACTCCAATGGAAAGGGAGCCTACATGCTATATCTTGAGTATACGCTTCATCAACATGATCCTCGTACTCATCATTAACAACCCCCTTAAGCTCATGGTTCCCCATGTTCCCCTTTGTGCCTCACTCAAGTAGGGCCACACGCTAGTCAAGATTTACTCGGAGTTGCATCATTCTATAATCATCTCATATTACATATTGGATTCAATTCTTACTTGTCATCATTTTGTCACAACTTACCAATTATATGGCATCACCCTGTGACTATATGACTTAAGCCAATGGATCCCTGTGGCAAGCTTAAAATTCATAGCCAATCCACACGTGTGAGCACATCAGGCTCTTGGAGTGTTAGCCTTGATCGCTCCTTTGCATGGAGGAGTTTCCTATAGCAATTGTTATGTTGTGGTTTCCGGTGTTAAAAGGATACTCAACTATTTCACTCCAACCCAACAGCTCCCTCAAGCATGGTTTAAAAAGGCGGTAGTGAGGCGGGCCTCCCGCCTCACTGTGAGGCGCATGTAGTATGCCTCGAGGCAATATTTTTGAGGCTAAAAATATGAGGCTCACGCCTCTAAATCTTTGAGGCGTGCGCCTCATGGAGTCATTTAAAATTTGATTTTTCAATTGTATGAAAAAAAATTAGAAAATGTCCTTAAAAAAGAAAAGGGCCCATTTAAAAATGTATTTTAGGCCAAAACAATAAAATACCTAAAAAAGGAAACGGCAACCAGAAATTAGAGGACCAAAAAGGAACAGATTCAATAGAAATTCAAAAATCAGAAATTGAGAGTAGCGGAGAGGAAAATGATGGGAAAATTAGATATGATGAATTTCATTAACGATACTAGTAATAGTGATGATAGTGCGATTATTAGGCTTTTTTTTTAGTTTAAGCTCTTTTTTTTTCCATTGCAAATTGAGTGATTTCTAACTTTTGTAATGCTTTTTTTTGCTAAACATCTTCTTTCTTTAGATGGACTATATCTCAATATGTTAATAACTATATATCATATTTACTATATACTCCAACTTTGATTTTTTTGCACTATTTTATAATTTTTTTCCTTAGATTTTTTGTTTTTTGCATGGTATGAAAAAACCATGCTGAGGCCCGCCTCACTGTGAGGC